GAATCTGACGACTCTTGAGAACACAAGGACCAGGTGAGACATAATAACATGCAAATACTCAGAGCAACTGACAGAGCAGACAGGGACAGGATGTTTGAAAGGCGGGAAATAGGAACTCGAGGGAGGGGATACTGCACCGCTGGAAGCTAAACACACAGACTGACAGATGACTCACAGGGATGTCAGGAAGTATTTGTTCATTCTTAGAGTGGCAGGGAAGCTGTGAAGCTTCAGTCAACAAGTGGCAGGGAAGCTGTGAAGCTTCAGTCAACAAGTGGCAGAGTGGCAGGGAAGCTGTGAAGCTTCAGTCAACAAGTGGCAGGGAAGCTGTGAAGCTTCAGTCAACAAGTGGCAGAGTGGCAGGGAAGCTGTGAAGCTTCAGTCAACAAGTGGCAGGGAAGCTGTGAAGCTTCAGTCAACAAGTGGCAGAGTGGCAGGGAAGCTGTGAAGCTTCAGTCAACAAGTGGCAGGGAAGCTGTGAAGCTTCAGTCAACAAGTGGCAGAGTGGCAGGGAAGCTGTGAAGCTTCAGTCAACAAGTGGCAGGGAAGCTGTGAAGCTTCAGTCAACAAGTGATAGTCCAAGAATCTTTATACAGTTTTAAGAACACATATAATAGGAGAGAGTGCATTTGGCAAGTTGAGAGGCGGGGTCATGAGCTGAGACTCATGAGCTGAGACTCATGAGCTGAGACTCATGAGCTGAGACTCATCAGCTGAGACTCATCAGCTGAGACTCATCAGCTGAGACTCATCAGCTGAGACTCATCAGCTGAGACTCATCAGCTGAGACTCATCAGCTGAGACTCATCAGCTGAGACTCATCAGCTGAGACTCATCAGCTGAGACTCATCAGCTGAGACTCATCAGCTGAGACTCATCAGCTGAGACTCATCAGCTGAGACTCATCAGCTGAGACTCATCAGCTGAAACTCATCAGCTGAGACTCATCAGCTGAGACTCATGAGCTGAGACTCATGAGCTGAGACTCATGAGCTGAGACTCATCAGCTGAGACTCATCAGCTGAGACTCATCAGCTGAGACTCATCAGCTGAGACTCATCAGCTGAGACTCATCAGCTGAGACTCATCAGCTGAGACTCATCAGCTGAGACTCATCAGCTGAGACTCATCAGCTGAGACTCATCAGCTGAGACTCATCAGCTGAGACTCATCAGCTGAGACTCATCAGCTGAGACTCATCAGCTGAGACTCATCAGCTGAGACTCATCAGCTGAGACTCATCAGCTGAGACTCATCAGCTGAAACTCATCAGCTGAGACTCATCAGCTGAGACTCATCAGCTGAGACTCATCAGCTGAGACTCATCAGCTGAGACTCATCAGCTGAGACTCATCAGCTGAGACTCATCAGCTGAGACTCAGGAGAAGGATTTAGGTAGAGAAAATCGATCATTTACTGATGTTAGTGATGCATAGTGAATGATGTGACGACTTACTGTACCGATACTGGAGGGGGAGGAGGTGGTAAAGGGAGAGGAGGAGGAAGGGTGAGGGGGAAGGGGAGGATGAGGGAGGGGGAGGAGGAGGAAAGGGGAGGAGGAGGAAGAAGGGGAGGAGGAACGGGGCAGGATGAGGAAGGGGGAAGAGGAGGAGGAAGGCGGGGGGAGGAGGAAGGGGGGAGGATGAGGAAAAGGGAGGAGGAGGAAGGCGGGAGGAGGAGGAAGGAAGAGGAGGAGGAAGGGGAGGAGGAGGAAGGGGGGTCACAGATATAAGTTTAAAAGTGAACGAGAATGTTGTATAGAGATGCAGTAACACTGTCAACACATAGATGGTTCATACTGAGCCCAGAGTCCTGCAGGACAACGTGAGGACCTCTTCTCTCTCTCTCTCTCAGCAATGTCTTCATACAGTTTTAAGGCCTGGTTGTGTACTACCTCCATGCTCCATGACTGGTGCACCTGGTGTGGTTGTGTACTACCTCCATGCTCCATGACTGGTGCACCTGGTGTGGTTGTCTACTACCTCCATGCTCCATGACTGGTGCACCTGGTGTGGTTGTCTACTACCTCCATGCTCCATGACTGGTGCACCTGGTGTGGTTGTCTACTACCTCCATGCTCCATGACTGGTGCACCTGGTGTGGTTGTCTACTACCTCCATGCTCCATGACTGGTGCACCTGGTGTGGTTGTCTACTACCTCCATGCTCTCCTCTCTGGAAGTTGAAGCGTGGATGAGGGCAGATGCTCGTGGTAACTGAGAGAGCACAGTGCTTGGAGGCGAGACAGCTTAGTATTTCAAGCAAATACCAGTTTGCAGGTTAATCATAGCTTCAGTGGCCTTGGTTCTGAGGAGACTTCAAGACTTGAAGTACTGTGTTTGATATTGAAATGTGAGACAGTTATCAGCAATCACGACAAGATATTTATTTGAGGTCGTCAGTGAGAGGCTAGTATTTTATATGTGGAATCATGTGGCTATTTTTTTTTTTTTTTTGTATAATCTTCACCGTAATTGAATTTTCGGTTAAGATCGTTAATCCAAGTTCACTGCAGGTGCTGGATGCGAGTGCTGGATGTGAGGTTCTAGTTTTTTATGGCATGACTGAATTATTACGTCATTTGAACACTCAACATAACTGAGAGACTTTGTGATACTTATGAAGCGGAACTGAACTAGTTTCATTAATGTTATAATTATTGCCATTATATAGTAAAGTATGAATTCATTAACTGTCTAAGCAGATCACTACAACTGCAACTTGTTCCTTCAGCGCAACTTCTGAAATCTTTACCCTGACAAATTATGTGCCTCTGCAATCTTTTGATTACCACCCACCCACTGGTTGAGTGTAGGAGCATTGGAAATATCAGATCAGTTGGCCAGCCATTTTCCTATTTGGATTAGGTCTGGCGTTTATAAACTTCTAGGTAGTTCGGGGGCCCACTTGTCCACCAGAATTGTTTAACTACAAACAATTATTTTTTCTTCATTCAGACAAGTAAGTGATATGGTGGAGTAAGTGATTCCATCATTGCCAGAAGCCGTATCACATCTTGCCTCTCTTTAGTTTGTGTATGGTGAGTTAGAGCTGGTCAGAACAACCCTCTCACATGTGAATCTAATCTTTTTTTTTCCTTTCATTATGGCAGATCTTACTGAAGATCTTGGCATCCTGAGGAAGTTCCTTATATGCTCTTCTGGAGGTGAAGAATCTTGAGCTTTTCTTCCTGTAGGTACTGGCTGATCTGGGCTTTTCTAGGGATTGTATTATGTGTGAAAGTGTTTTTAAACCTGAAGGTGTCTTCAGTATACATCCGAGAAGGAGAATATTATAAAAATCCTATGTTGATCAGACATGTCATGTATAATGCTTTCAAATTAACCTCGGGAATGCAGAGAAGATTGTTCAGTATTTCCCTTACATAACACAAGTGACATAACTTACATCACTATATGAAGAAACTCTCAATATAACTTTTATCTATTTGGTGTCATGAATTATGTAGGAGACTAGCTTGTGCTGCTGGGTCTGGTGCTGTGCTCCATCCTTGAGTGGAGGTGACCAGACTGGGTGGGTCATTGGGCTAATCTGGGAGGTGTGAGTCATTGGGCTTATCGGGGGGGACATGGACCTGCTCCGCATGGGTCAGTAGGCCTGTTGCAGTGTTCCTTCTTTCTTATGTTCTTATGTTCCTTAGGTCCTCACGCATTTTCCCTTGTCGCATCTATTAATTAATAAACATCTCTCTTTGCACAGATTAATCTACCCTCATACAGCGGCTCTTCCCAACAAAGATTCTTTGATATACTTCATCCATCATATACCTGTTTGCTGATACTTGTACTCTAAAGTATCAGGATACATTTACTTCATTCATTCTCTTTCATAGCTCACAGAGGTAGAGGATGTGTTTAGGATGCAGTCGACATTACCTCTCAGAACAGCTACACTGAGAAGCTGAGACAAGAAACTAGTTGCTACGGGGTTCTTGATTTCCTAACGAATTTATTTCTGTCCTATTGGAACAAAGCTATAATGATGATAAACCAAGAAGAAAGTTGTGTGCACACAGTCACCCATCCAGCTACTAGCCACGTCAAGCGGTGCTGTATCTGAGTGAACGATTGCTACATGGTGCTACATTAGAAATGTTATATATGCCTTAGATATTAAAACTTATATGCCTTCTCCCTTCACGAAACTCTTCTTTCTTTTGGACAAGGACTTGTGTGGAATATATAACATATATTGAAGACACTTAATTCCAAACATTTAAAACTTGAAGATGTACTTGAAACAAATGGTGAAAGAATTACGTTTGGTTTTATTATGACATCCTGTCCTATCAAACTTCATATTGGCAATAAACACACAATATTCAAAACCATCTCTTATTGGAACTACATTTCATGTTAAGTTGAGCTTTATTAAGTTACACATACGATACGTCTTACACATACGTATACACACAAAAAGTGTTATAAAAACAATAAAGAATTGTATGTCAGGTGTTGATGATGTGGATAGCTGAGCACTGCACTCTACCTCCTCTTGATGGATTACTGACCACCTGTTTCTCGTGTAAGAGATAATGTGGTGCCAACAGCTGTGCTAAGCTGGAGGCGCCCTGGTTCTCTTCACTGGTGGCTCTTGTACCAGTGATCATTACTTCTAGGCACCGTCGTCGTGATCTGTCCCATTCTTGTCTTGACATGTATGTCATCCATCAGGACAAACAATGCATGTCATCCATCAAGACAAACAAAGATGCCTTATGGGGTGGAAAGATGGCACTCTTAAAATTTGAAAGTTAAGACACATGTGCAACATCTGGATATCTTTATTGTAGACGTTTCGCCATCCAGTGGCTTTATCAATACAGATTCTAGGACATAATTGGAAGACAGTAGAACTACAAAAGATGAGGTAATCAGTCCCTCAGCCTTGGAGTTAGTGTTCACAGCATCGTGGTGGTAATGCTGTGAACACTAACTCCAAGGCTGAGGGACTGATTGCCTCATCTTTTGTATATAGTTCTACTGTCTTCCTATTATGTCCTAGAATCTGTATTGATAAAGCCACTGGATGGCGAAACATCTACAATAAAGATACCCAGATGTTGCACATGTGTCTTAACTTTCATATTGTCGGTATTTTATACCTTTCTTGCACAACTCTTAAAATTAAAGAAGAGGACAGGTGACGAAAATAGATACTATTAGATAGAATTAGGATACCTTCAGCCTAGCAAAGTATTATTTTGTATGGGAAACACCCGGCAAATTATATAACATCAGTTAAATCCTAATAATAGACCAGTAGGTCGAGTGTAGTTTTCCACTTCCAGTATCACCAACACCTGACATATCAGTCTTTACTGTTCCTGTCTCACTTTGTGTAAGTATATATTCTGTAGGTGCAAAAGGTATCATCTGTATAATGTGATAAAGCTCAACCCTGAGCAAAATATAGCCCCATTTAAAGTTTTTTTTTCTTGTTTGTATAGCCACACCTGGCGGAGCTATGTTGGTTCGTCAAATGTTCACTTTCAATATTTATGTAGTCTAATCTTCACAATAATGACATTTATTGTCATGGATCATACAGATTTATAACGAAAATTTGCTTAGCCTTATATATAATAAACTCATGTAGAGCCTTACACTCACAAATAGCTCTATAAGCAAATTCAGAACTTCTGAGTTTACTGCTACAGAACAGAAGAGCTATTAATTAGCAGGTATTTCAGAGACATCTACAGTCTTAGGCCTCTCATCCTGGGTCTCCATGTGTGGTGTTACATCATAGGTGATGATCTTGAGTGCCAGGAATCCTCCAGAGCCAGGCTGACCTTTGTGAAAGAGCTCAACACCAGACCACCAGGAGCTGGGTGACGGAGACACTGGCTGGGCGTCAAAGAAAGGCACAGTGAGTTGAGCCACGTCTAGTGCCCTGTCAGTGGGACCAAAACGTATGAAAGAGTCTGGTGCCGAGTAAATTTTGGAGAGGCCAGGGAACTTGGTTGGGTCGTCAGGAGAGGTGATCAGGACTTCCTTCCTAGGATTCCTAGCCATAGCTGGTGTGTTGTCATTACTGATCCAGTAGCTCTTGGTGGGATTCAACTCCCCCGTTGTGTAGTTCACCGGAGTTATTTGTACCTGAACAAAAATAGTAAAGGGAATTTCCTTGCTTACATATACAAACATAGTACTGGCAAAAAATAAGCCATAATTGAAGAAGATAAAATGACACTATCAAAGCAAACACTACTAGAGTCCACTGAAACTTTACACTTATAAGATGGTTTACTTACAAAATGTTGTGTTAATGAGTAACATCATTAACGTGAAGCACTAGCTTCTGTTAAACTTTAAAATGTGAAGATTACACGTAGAAAAACATTCGTACGTGAGCCGAGGAAGGAAGAGTAAATTATTGTATATAGAACAGAGTAATGTATAGAGAACAGTAGTGTATAGAGATCAGAGTAATGTATAGAGAACAGTAGTATATAGAGATCAGAGTAATGTATAGAGAACAGTAGTGTATAGAGATCAGAGTAATGTATAGAGAACAGTAGTGTACAGAGATCAGAGTAATGTATAGAGAACAGTAGTGTACAGAGATCAGAGTAATGTATAGAGAACAGTACTGTATAGAGATCAGAGTAATGTATAGAGAACAGTAGTGTACAGAGATCAGAGTAATGTATAGAGAACAGTAGTGTACAGAGATCAGAGTAATGTATAGAGAACAGTAGTGTACAGAGATCAGAGTAATGTATAGAGAACAGTAGTGTACAGAGATCAGAGTAATGTATAGAGAACAGTAGTGTACAGATATCAGAGTAATGTATAGAGAACAGTAGTGTATAGAGATCAGAGTAATGTATAGAGAACAGTAGTGTACAGAGATCAGAGTAATGTATAGAGAACAGTAGTGTATAGAGATCAGAGTAATGTATAGAGAACAGTAGTGTACAGAGATCAGAGTAATGTATAGAGAACAGTAGTGTATAGAGATCAGAGTAATGTATAGAGAACAGTAGTGTATAGAGATCAGAGAACAGTAGTGTATAGAGAACAGTAGTGTATAGAGAACAGTAGTGTATAGAGAACAGTAGTGTATAGAGAACAGTAGTACATAGAGAACAGTAGTGTATAGAGAACAGTAGTGTATAGAGAACAGAGTAATGTATAGAGAACAGTAGTGTATAGAGAACAGTAGTGTATAGAGAACAGTAGTGTATAGAGAACAGTAGTGTATAGAGAACAGTAGTGTATAGAGAACAGTAGTATATATAGAACAGTAGTGTATAGAGAACAGAGTAATGTATAGAGAACAGTAGTGTATAGAGAACAGTAGTGTATAGAGAACAGTAGTGTATAGAGAACAGCAGTGTATAGAGAACAGTAGTGTATAGAGAACAGTAGTGTATAGAGAACAGTAGTGTATAGAGAAAAGTAGTGTATAGAGAACAGTAGTATATAGAGAACAGGAGTGTATAGAGAACAGAGTAATGTATAGAGAACAGTAGTGTATAGAGAACAGTAGTGTATAGAGAACAGTAGTGTATAGAGAACAGTAGTGTATAGAGAACAGTAGTGTATAGAGATCAGAGTAATGTATAGAGAACAGTAGTCTACAGAGAACAGTAGTGTATAGAGAACAGTAGTGTATAAAGATCAGAGTAATGTATAGAGAACAGTAGTGTACAGAGAACAGTAGTGTATAGAGAACAGTAGTGTATAGAGAACAGTAGTGTATAGAGAACAGTAGTGTATAGAGAACAGTAGTGTATAGAGAACAGTAGTTTATAGAGATCAGAGTAATGTATAGAGAACAGTAGTGTATAGAGAACAGTAGTGTATAGAGAACAGTAGTGCATAGAGATCAGAGTATTGTATAGAGAACAGTAGTGCATAGAGATCAGAGTATTGTATAGAGAACAGAGTAGTGTATAGAGAACAGTAGTGTGCAGAGAACAGAGTTTTGTATAGAGAACAGTAGTGTATAGAGAACAGTAGTGTATAGAGAACAATAGTGTATAGAAAACAGAGTAGTGTATAGAGAACAGAGTAGTGCATAGAAAACAGAGTAGTGTATAGAGAACAGAGCAGTGTATAGAGAACAGAGTGATGTATAGAGAACAGAGTAGTGTACAGAAAACAGAGTAGTGTATAGAGAACAGAGTAGTGTATAGAGAACAGAGTAGTGTATAGAGAACAGAGTGATGTATAGAGAACAGAGTAGTG